CAAAGAGTTATTGAAATTCCATGGTCCACATCAAACCAACTATCAAATTGAAAAAGGTAAACTTTTCCTCCAATCTCACTAATTTTGACATCCCTTCTAATTTCCAAAAGAGATTCTTGGTCTTTGTGAACCCCATTAGATTGATTCTCTTCTAGGTTTGAACTTTCCCAATCAAACAAACCTCTTCCTTATGTTGCACAACCCTATTCCATTTTCCCACAGGAGAGATAATGGCCCTTTCACCTAATAACAGCGCAATTTTGCCTAAGAGAAAGTAGATCTCCTTCTTCAAGGCTTGGGATGTGTTAATCTGGGTGTCTACCATATCGCTGACTGCCACTACAATAAGAGAAATCTGTTCCAACCATCTCCATCAAATCTAGAATAACATAGAGCCTAGGGAAACTCTGTCTTCTAGCTCTACCGAAAACTAGTCTTTCGGTCCTTAAGTAGCAAAATATAAATAAAGGTGATGGAGAGTTTAAGATTAGGATAGAGAAGAAGACTCCTCTAGAAGGAGAGAAACCAAGATGGAGACTTTCATAATGTTCCCCAAATCCTAACCCTACTAGTTTGGTGGTGCATAAGAGAAGTTACATTAGAAATAATTTTAATTTATGTTTTGTATATTTAGCAAGAGCTTCTCATTTTGCAATTTGAAATTACAAAACAAGAACCGTTGGATAGGGGGACAATTCCAATATTAGAAGCCTATCCACTCGAATGAACACTTTTTTTATTTATTAAAGAGCATAACATTCTTTAAATTAATTATTGAACGTTAACATAGTTTTTATAATAATAAAATATGAGAAAAACCACAATGCAAAATAACCATAATGAACATAGAGAAACAGTATAGATAAGAACTCCAACTTTTGAAAGTTTATTATTTAAGAATCTAAATTTTTTCATTCCTAATTAAGGATATCAACTTTTTTGTTTTCCTATTTAAGAGACTCAAACTCACCAATTTTACCATACAAGTCTTTGTTGGATGGAATGCTTATTTATATTTCTTAATTTCATTAAAGCAACCCACATTAGGTGTTGTCTTTTTTCTTAAAAGAAAAGAAAAAAAAACTATGTTGCCATCAATGATATAGATAATTATCAATTACATGCTACATAAAAATATTACAAAAATTGGGTATGCCAATGACTTAAGTGATCTAGTGATAACAATTCCAACAACATAAAGGACTCAATTAATTGTAATTTCTTTTCAAAGTGAAGTAAGAGATCGTATAATCGAATCATAGGTGTAGTAGATTATATAAAGAAATAAAAAAAAAGAATTATTTTTTATTATGTAATCTAAAATTGAAAAATTTGGTACTCAATTAATTGAGAGCTAGTTTTATAAATACATAAATAGGAATGAAGTAGTATTAATACATGGTTAAATCCTCAATTTGGTTCTTCAACTATTATATGGATCCCCGATTTAGTCCCTAAACTAAAAAAATCCCTTATTTGGTCCCTATTGTTTATCAATTTGGCCATAAATTGGTTTTTTTTTGTTAAAAAACATAGATGACATGTCTCATTATTAACGTGATACGTGACCATTAAATAATGGTTTTTTACCACTAAGTAGTATACACATTAGTTGTTTTTTAACGGAAAGACTAATTTAGAGCCAAATTAGTAAACAGTCAAAAGTAAATCAAGGATATTTTGAATTTAAGGACCAAATCAAGGGTTCATAAAATAATTGAGGGATTAAATTAAAAGTTTCACTTAAATACATTCCCTGGTTTGACTGAGGGCTTCAGACTTAATGAATTGTCCAAAACCTTAATGTTTGAATTTAATTCATTGACAATACGAGTCTCACCAATTTTTCGAAAAAATTTCATATTCCTCCATAATTTCCCAAGTTAAAATAATAATAATAATAATAAAAACATCATTCCCTGGCTCTAGAAAGAAGTATGGTAGCGTAGATTGTGTCAATTCCACTTCTGTGGAGCAAAATAGGAAAGCAGCTGGCGCTAGCCAAGTAGCTGAGAAGTAGAGGTCATGGTTATTTCCACGAGCATAAATGTTAAGGCTGCAGAGATTTACCTGAGGTAGTTAGGATATTTAAAAATATGGTTATAAATGGTTAATTAATATATATTTATTATTTTATTAATTTATAATTAATAATTATAATTAATAATTATTTTTAATAATTAAATTAAATATAATGATAACGTTTGCCTCACTTTAACATTTATATACGTAACAACAACCATCCCTCAACTATACTTTTGGAAATATTTTATGAACTATTAACAATTGAACATTGGCTTTTGTTAGGATGGGGTCCATCCAAAGAAAATATTGAGAGATAATTTTGTTTACAATATTTTGTTGAGATTTATAATATTATATATTTATTTAATAATATATAATTATAAAAAAAATAATATGTAAAAATTATATAAAAAACTATTTGTAAATCATTACCCCTCTAATGAATTGAATGAGATTTATGGATATAATTATTATTACACATAAAAGTGATGGGATTACACAAATTATTTAATATTTATTTATTTTTAAAATATTAATTTGATTTAATTATTAAAAATAATAAAAAATTATAATTATTAATTAAAAATCATTAATATTTATTAATTAATAAATTAAAATTAATTAACAAACTAAAATATTCAAATACCTTAATTATTGTTAAAAAATATATATATTCTCATGATCCAACACTCTTTGTATACGACAATAATCACATTCGAGATCCATCATCCACTTGTAAAATTCAGGGGGTCCAGGTGACGGCCACATCACGATCGGAATTGTCCCCCTGGGTACGCTACCATGAAAGTGTTCATCATTGTGTTTTAACATTGCACTAGACGGTTCTGGACGCCTGGGCAAGTGGATTAGTGGCTTGCTCAACACCATTCCGGCTTTTATATTTGATATTTCGGTATCACTTCCTCAATCTTTTATAGTATAGTAGAAATATTTTAAAAAAATTAGCCTTGTTAAAAAAAAAAAAAAAAAACATTGCACTGGATTACTAGATTGAAGACATGTTT